GTTCACAAGACCAGCACCGACTACAACTATATCTCTTGAAACACAAAGGGCAGACTGTACACACAGCTTTGTTTTGTTTACTTAGGGCATGCAATAAAAGTGGCGCAGTTGCCAAAAACGTCGACTAGGCTTTTCCTTCCAATTCCAGTGGAAAATTAGGGCAATTATTGAGATGAAATCATTTGGGGATTTCTAAGCCAAAGCCACGTAATACCCGTCACTGATATATTTCCCTTCAACTCCATCCTACATCTTAGCCTTTACAGTGTCCTGGGGTAATGAGCTTCATAAACCAAGTGCCAGGCCTGCACTCTGAGGTGCATGTAATCCCTGACCTGTGTTTTTTCATGAAAACACACGGTTATACCAACAGCCATGTTTCTGGGCAAGGGTGGAAAGGAAGAGAATGGCAGAGAGAGCCCGACCCAGCAGCTGAGTTCATACTTTGCTCTTAAAAGCCACATGCAGGCATGGGGGGGTGCAACTCCTTTGCAGGCACAGGGCACAAGAATAACCTCCAGTACATTGCCTGACTTTAGCAGTGCATCCAACATCGTTTTGCAAAGACCTCTCATGCTTGCTGTTCTTGTCTCTGCTTCATTTGTCATTCCACAGAATTAAACATTCCTGTAGCTCAGCTGTCTTCCTGGCCCTCCGCAGACACGCTGCCCAGAGTTTACTGAATGTAATCTTCTCTCACCCACATTCTCGTCTCCTGGAGGTCTGCCAGGTTTAGGCTAAGCAGTAGCACTCGTTGCTCCATAGGGCCTATCAGGTGCTTGGGCAAACAAAGGATCAAGGCAAACAGACGCCCCAATAGCGTATCTCAGGCTAGAAATACTTACCAGTTCCTGTTTGGGATTCCTTTCTCTCCTGCGCTTTTCACACTGAATGCTTTTGGAGACAGTTTGCATTGTATTTCTCTCTCTCAGCTGGTGCAAAAGGGGGAAGTTCTGTTTCTCAGTTATGCTCAGAGAAGCTCTGCAATATAAATTAGCAGCTATCCAAACCCCAATTTCTCTTTAGTTCTTCATCTTACACTGAACTGATAAAGGGTACATATTACTACCTTAGGCAAAATCGTTTTCAAGGTTCAAATCATGAAAGAAAAACCACGTTTGTTTGCACTGTTTCATCTCTGTTGCTGTTACAGCCTAATCCCCGGCTACTTACTAAAAATGAAAGAAATCCTCCAACTGTTATGAAGGAAAGTATGTAGAATCATCCAACCAAGTTTGCCAAGAAAAAAAAAAAATCAAACTGCATTGCAACCCACAGGGCCTGGCTGGTTTTGTAATAGTACTTGGGAGGATGTGGGGTTTGTTTACATAAGGGAAATTACACTTCACTGCTGACAGTAGGTGTCATCAGCAGGTGCTGAACAGGATCTCTGACTTGAAAGCAAAGGCAGAAGCAACTTTCTGAGCTACTTCAGCCTACTTTGAACAGATTCTGACCTCTATTTCTGAAACAGCACAGTTTGTCAGCTTATGCTAGCAACCACATAAATTTCTCTGCTGATCCACCTTCATCTGCTATCACTATGAGTGCTTGATTATCAACTGATCCATATCAGTTATCTTTGATAATCAAACAAGTCGATTATTAAACTACAATGAGCTCTAACCTAACCAGATCTTTGTTGAACAACAGACCTGTTACATATCTAAGCCTCCCGTTCTTGATGAAGTGGTGCAAAACACATTGGGAGCATTATTCAAATCCACTACAATAAAGTACTTCTCCTGTGGGGAGGGGAAAAAAAATGCTAATAAAGTATTCCCAATGCGAAGATCAGCTCTGCAGTGTTGTCCTACTTCAACATTTCACCTACACTCATTACACTTCCCTCCCCCCCAACTATCATCTGTGCAGTTAAGCTGAATGTGATGAATTTACATTGCTAAAGGTTAAAACAAGGTGACTGCTAGATGGGTCACTCCCATTACTCAGTAGCAGAAGAAAGGTGCTTTGCATATTTCCAATGCCCGCGCGATAAATACATCCCCACATGCTGATACAAGGGTACAAGTGGCCTATAAAAGATGGCTAGAAGGGACTATAGTCAGAAGATCCCATACAGAGATAAAATAAGCGAAGACTGCAAGTGCCTCAGTACCAGGAGAGTCAAGGCAAATCAAGAAACAAAATTCCCTGTGCAGGAACTCAGAGAACCAGAACCTGGTCTTAAAGGAGATTTTGACAGTATCGTCTTCACCAAATGTCACATTGGATGGCTTGAGGACTGAATTTAGCTGTGGCTTTTATGGTCCTCAGATAAAAATGTACATATAACTGATAATCACCCCATGGACTTGTGTAACTTGTTTAGGGATGCAGGATGGACCTTTCAAGCCCAAGGAGAATCCCAATACTGGTGCTATTAGAGCTACCTAGTATTTCCTGCTGTTGTGTGGGAAGGGAAAACTCCATCTGTAATCCTGGCTTTGGCTACTGCACTGCAGGTGTAAACTTGCCTTTTTTCATCATGCTTGTTTGCTGCCCTTTCCATTTCTGTTCTCAATTCATTTCAGGACACATTCCAGTGGGGGAAAAATACAAAGGTGGGGCCAAGTTCCCTTCCTTATGCTTGATACTTACATTGTGGCATTTTCTGAAACATCTGAGATCTTGAAAAAAAAAAAAACCACATCTGCCTGAAGCCACTACATATGGCAGAGCTAGCAAATCCTAGGCCAGCTACCTGGCTTACAAATCTTAGTCATTTCCAACGTGCAATAGAGAGCATGTTTTCAGGTTTTCTACATGCTGCTAATTCACCAGCCCTTAATCTGTTCCAGTTGCCATCCATGACAAAATCGCTTATCTACCAGAAGGCTGAAAAGTTATTTTCAAAGCCATAATGACCACAAAGGTCAATTCACAGCCTGTCAGTTTAGTGTTTTGATTTCCTCTCAACCTATGACAGCCATTCCCAGCTCAATGTACTTTTTGCAAGTACTTGTCACTTCATTACCGAAGAAACATTGACACACAGCATGAAGAGTCAACTATGAGGTAGAAGGCAGATAGAAGAAATAAAGGCGCTTTAAAGAGAGTCCACTGATTGTTTTCACTAGCCCTATCCAAACACAGCTGCAATAGAAAAGATGTCAAAAAGTAAAAACTACTTAGTCAGAATACTGGGAAAGCAAGAGAATCAGCTGCAGAAAGGTTTCAGCAGGCAGGCATTGCTTGCTACTTTATTCTAGCAATCATGCCTTGAAACTACACCTAGTCCTACTGCTGGACAGTGTGCCACCTCGCTTTATTTCTGTTTTGCAACTCTGTGATATGAAGTGATGGTCACGGAACATTAAAAAAATTAAGAGGGCTTTTGTTTGTTTAACACATACTTTGCACCAAAAGGGAGGAGAAAGCTGTAGAGTATGAGTCTGCTGAACTAGCTGAGATGTGACCTAGGAGTTGAGTCACAAGACAAAGTGGCATACAGAAAGCTTATCTCTGTGTCTTTTTTTCTTTCATCACATGCTTCAGAACAAGTCAGCTGTAAAACTGGGAGTTTCATGCCTGTAATGAGCTTTAGTTTTGTGCAAGGGTATACGGTGTTTTAAGAGTATGGGCAGAAATATTTCTAAATACAAAGCACAGCTGCAATTACCACACAAAAGCAACTGAAAAACAGACAGTGCCAGTCCTGCAGGCCTCGGGATAGTGTTTTGAAGGAAGGAATACCCTCTACTCACTTGTTTTTATTACTTTGACAAACAGAAGGACAAAAATATCCAAAACCAGGTTCAGCAGACCACTGTAATTCAAGTTCATGCATCAAAACAGGTTTCATGCAGGACATAAATACAAGTGAAAACACTGTCTAAAAATTGATAGCACTTCATTATTTAGACCACTTCAAACTACACAATCTGCACAAGTCCAGTTTCATTGTTACGCAATTAGCTGGTGAGTGGAATATTGCCTGTAATATATTTGTATACAGGTTGAAACAAGGATGAACTCCACCACTGAAATTTATTACTATCCTTGGCTATAGAGATTTATCACATACTTCCCCTCACAAAACCAAAAACTTTCTAATAGCCTGGTTTCTAGGTTATTAGAACAGGCTGTTTATTAGGCTGTTTCCCCTTCATCCTCCAACAGCTCTTAGCAGCTAAACACTATCAGTTACCAATTTGATCATGATTTTGTGTTTTCACTGAGAGCGCTGCACTTTTGTAACTTCTGTTGGCTTCTTAAAGATCCTCAGGTGTATTTATATCATTGCTTAAGCCAGACATTAAACTCTGGCATTAACATTTCAGCCAATTATTTTTGCGTACATGAATGGACACAGTTGGTTTCTTAGTGAGTTAACACTGAAGTCACTCACCTGGACTAAACATACCTGCTAAGCCTCCTCGGGGAGATGCAGCTTGTATCAATAAAGCAGGGTTGTGCTTTTGCTAGAATAGTTTACATCAATTCCTACACACTGTAGTATCTCAATGCTGAAAGCTACGCTTCTCAGTATGTTGCCAGCATGGAAGAGCCGTTTACACACGTGCTTCTAAGCTGTCTGATGATAGAGGTACAGCCTCTGGAGGAAGTTTCGTGTTCAAGCTGCCTGTTGTTCATTTCTACCCACATCCCAAGAATCATTTTTTCTAACAATTTCCCATGGTACTATCAATCATCTAAGTACTACATATGACACTCTTCTCAGAGCCCCAAAAATATCATTACAGACCAAAGCAAGGCATCCATGCTTCCCATTAAAAAAAAGCACTATCAAAGTAAGTACATTCTAGAAAGTTTGTCCTATCAGTGAATTTTGTTTCTCTGATTAGTCTCAAGGCCTGATACGATCTACAGATACCACCAGCTTTGGATTAAGAATGTTCCCTTGCCATTTACAAGGATCAGTTTTGATTTATTGAGTCCTGAACAGGTCATCAAGCAGACAAGAGCTGAGATTTAAACTAGTCCGTATCAGACATTTTCACAGCATTACTAACACCCACAGTAAAAACAAAAGTGCATTGTAGGCAAAGTGTCCACAGTCATCTTTATTTAAATTACCTTAGTCCCCCAGAAAAAGGCCCAAATTAGACAAGATCTTGTCTTACTTCAAGTTACATTTCTTTGGCATGGTGTGACCTCATAACTGCAAGTCTTGTCTCCAACAGTCACACAGCACAGAGACAAACATTAGATTAACGTTATTCTCTATATATTTAATTTTAGTCTTTCACTACAGAAAACCCCATTTGACTGCCTGACAGCACTTACAATAATATTCACATGAATCCTACACAGACAAACAGTAGTTTCAAAGAACAGCTACCCTTAGGTATCAGGTACATTATACATCAGGCATTTCAGATGCTGGGCCACTAAAAACAAACCAAAACAATGAAAACCAAACACAGAACCACAAAAAATCTGGATTAAATGAAATTGACCCCAGAACAGTACTTTCTCTGAAAATCTAAGGCTACTATTGCATTAATCCATCAGGTATACGCAACTGAACCATTGTTCTTCTCAAGGTGGATCAGTTTATTTTGTATCTTATGAGAAAAAGCCATTGTGGTGACACAATATATGTTCCAGCACCTGCAATACCCTAAACCAGAGTGAAGGTCCACATTTCCACGTGGGAAAGACAGATGCTTTGTCTAGTTCTTTACACCTTTCTTCACAGCTGTTTTTGAAGCATACTGCTAATAAAAAAAAGGGGATAGCACAGAAAAGGACAGTTTAGTTAAATAACTTAGATGTAGTAACGTCAAGGATTTCATCTTCGTTTTGTGCCCCCAAAGCCTGCAAAGAAGAAGAAAAAAGACTCAGCTCCGTTACACACTTTCCACTGGGTCCTCTCCAGTTCTAAAGTCTAAAACTTCTGAGATGAGTTCAATATAAAGTACAACATCAAGCAACAGCTGTGGACTGACTGGCCTGAAGAATGTTCTTTATGGATTTTTTAAACACAAAAATCACATTTGCACATTTTCTAGAGAAGGGCATGTGTAGCATACAACGAAGGGGAAAACCTTAAAATAATGAACCTTGCCAATAAAAAGAAACCCAGTACTCATTGGTACCACGCTCCCTGTAGGCCTGTGAAAGTTTCAAGCCCAACAATGGTGTTCTGTTTCCATAAGAAATAGAGATATGGGCTATGGTTACATGCTCATCTGTACCCAATTCCTGGCCAAAATAAAGGCAGGAATACTTGCTGAACCTCAACTAATATTCCATGCGTTTTGGACAGGTCAAAGTTTCTTGAGTTTCAGGAGATTAAAAGGTCTGGTGCCTTACCAGAAGCGGTTCTTGTTCCTGTACTGCTACCTTGCGTAGAGTTGCTCGACTGCCCATACATTGGAGGTGCAGTTGGGGGATCTGTCCACATACTGAAATGTGACCGTGGCTGTGCTCTGAGAAAAACAGTAGGAAGACTTCATTAGTAGCCTTATGAATAACTGTGGTATTACCTCTCCAAACAATGGGAATGTATTCGAGGGAGAACTGCAAGCAGGCACTTTTTTTCAAACATAGAAGCTTCTCTATTTAAAAGAATTAACAGCACAGATGATCTTTATATTTAAGTACAGCTGTTTGACAAATACAGGAAACCACTTGGTCTCTGAGAAGTCCCTGCAGAGGTCATATTTTCTCTAGTGAAGACTAAGACGGCAACAATTTTCACTGTTAAATGGCTTAAGAGTGATTGATACATTTTTAAAGTTTAGAAGTGTTTGGCAATGATCAGATGACCAGTAGATATTTACTCCAGCACTGAAACAGCTTTATTTGTATTACCTTCTTAAAAAAATGCAACTTATGACCTACAAGTACCTTGAAAAAAATCACAACTCTTGGATTTCCATACATGGGACATCAGGAGACTGCAGATTAAAGGCTTTTAAGTTTGACTGCACTAAGTATCACACAAGAGCAACTGCCATCCATACCAAATTTAAGAGAGATGACACTAACACAATACAAACATAAAACCATCCATAAATAGCTAATATTTTAATCAGTATTTTAAGGCAGTCTGTAGAGAGATTGTTCAAATGCTCATTTTAAATTTGCGAACCACTAAGCCAGGTCTGAGTATGTACTTAGCTCAGAATAAAGAGCCTTTGTCTTCCCAGTTCTTCTCCCTGAAAAAGACATTCAGAATATTTTTGCTGCTGGAGTTACAGATTGCACTTTAAAACCCTTCTTCTAGAACAACTTCAGAGTTTGAATGATACAAGTATGAAAATTTAATCTTGAATACTTAAAATCTGTCAGTATGCATATTTTACCTGTGACTGCCAGCCAAGTAGCCTAGCAAGCCTCCTGCTCCTAATCCAGTCCAAAATCCTGGTCCTGAACTGTTTTCATGACTGGACCAAGTCCCAGATCTGTCACCTCCTTAAATCAAATGGAAGAAGGAAAACATCAGTTAATGGCACCTAATCCTCAGGCCAGCTGTTACAACAAAATTCTCCCATTAAACATAACAGAAAATTAGACACCATGTTCCTCTTGGTTTCAGTGGATTCTTGATCAAGTTTATCTTGAAAGGCCCCACAGTTTGAAAAGCAGGAAGAAACATAGAAACAAATAGTAAGAACAGTGAAGAGTTTTACATTAGCAATTATCTTCCACCACATCTCATAGGCTTGATGTTTCCAAAACAGTGCAGAGTCCCTGCCTGCAGATTTTATAAACAGACAGTTTAGATTTAAAATAGAATTGAAGAAAGTGATTTGCTCAAGGTCACACAGCAGGCAGACTAAGGAATAAAGTATTATAAAACCTAACAGTGACCCAACTACTAACACACACTGCACCTAACCTCACCAAAAACACCTGCTCATTATGAGTAGGAGTGGCTCAGTTTAGCAGCTAACATTAGAATTACCAGAAACAATATGGAGTAGTCTCCTAACTTGGTATCAAAAGACATAAAAACTTTGCAGTGTCACTGCAGTTATTATGTATGAGTCACTAAGACTGATAAATACCTTGATAACAACAAAGGCAAATAAAGTGCACTGGGGGAGAGAGTCACAGATTTTATAGAAAATTGGGGATGCAAAAACAGGCTCAACCACAGGTTTAACACATAAGGAAGTATAAAAAGGCAAGAACTGAAAGCAACATTAGTCTCTGAAATACAGCATGGGAGAAAACTGATGATTCAAACATTTTAAGTCAGACTTCTACATGTAATTTGATATTGAATTTCATTTTGAATGATTTGGAAGAAAGCAGCTCTCGCTGGGATGATATACCTGTTAAACTATGCTGATATGGGACCCAAAATAATGCTTAATTTACTGTGAAGAACTACATTAATCAGGGAGATGAACAAACTCATTAATCCAAAAGCACCATGGCTGAACACTGACTCAGAAAGCAATCATCGTTGAAAAATCCAAGTAAACATTCAAGATCATGTCAAACCACTAACAGAGGAAAAGTCTAATTTAATTAAGATAGTCCAGCTAAACGAGTTTCACAGGACACATTCTGCATGCTAGGGGAATTTGAAATGAGGCAAATTAAATATTAACAGCAATAAGTGAACAACACGGCTTTTCATTACCATCCAGACATTCAAAGACAAATACATTATTAATATGCAAAGCCATATGCACTCAGAGACACGCTTTTCTTTGCTGTCAAACCTGAAGGCAGATACTAATTAATCCCTATGTGCTTTAAGTTCTTCAATTTTCAGAATCAATTGAGAAATTTTTAAAGTCCTACTCCTGCTGGATTGTAGATTCCTGTCCAGTAAAAGCACATTTGTGCAAGTAAATGACAAGGAACAGGACAGAAATAAAGCAGGCCTTTTATTCTGTTTTGACTGTGCCCAGTAGGACAGAGCCCTGAAACTGCCACAGTAATACCAGGGGCAAGTGGCATGCACACACAAGGTCACTGGTGCGCACACAGCATGAAAAAACTGCCTAAAGTCTGAAATAACCATACCAAAATCATTTTGCATACCAACTAACTAGTAATACTGAAGCACAACCCTTCTAATCTTCTGCAGCAGGTACATATAAAGCATTTCTGCTGCAAGTGTCCTGCACAAGGATATCTGGAAGAGCTATATTGGCACCCCCTGTTGGCCACGTGGTTTGAGCAAGCCTGGAAGAAACCATCAATGTTTGTTTTAACATTACTAAAGCATAAACGTTTGACCAAGTACACTTAATCCTTACATTATAATGGTTTGGAGCCCTACCTGTGAAGCTGGGCTTAAAACCAGGAGGAGGAGGTGCCTGATGATTCTGCCAGGAAGGACGAGCGAATCCATCACCATCACCAAACGTCTGCTGAGGCTGCTGGTTACTGAGGAAGAACTTGTACACTCCATAAGCAAGAACCAGAATAACAATTATAACAATTGCTCCAGCACCGGAATCAGAAGAATCCTTCCTTGACTGATAGAAACCGAAGCTGTCAGAGTTCTTCACTTTCCTTTCACCTTCCTCAGTCAGCTCTAACCTGAACAGCAAACTACAGGATCCTCTTAAGATGTAAGGATCATCTGGATAATCATAGCCTTCACAGCTCACTTCAATTTGTCCAAAGCGATGGGTGTTCTCCAAGTCTGCTTTGCACTGCCACTGGAAAAGGAAACAATACAAAATAGCAGCTACTTCTCCGGAGAATACCTGTCTGTTTTCCCAAACATGCTCAGAAATGCAACTCTCATTGTCAAGAAATCATTTAAAAGGCCAGAACATAAGGAATTTCTAAGTTCTCATATTCTAAGGACTAGAACTTTGAAATTAACTTGGAATTATTAACAAAATTAAAAGTTAATATAATCTCATTCAGAGCAAAGAAGAATTACAACTGAGATTTTCTGAACAGCTTTTTCAACTATGCCTTAGTTAGGTATAACATCTCTGAAAATAATCTGTATTCTGTATAACAAGGTGCACCATTTATAAGCACCTTTCCAATGTAGACTGGAGAGCAGATATAAACATAGACCATAGAAGCCTGAAAATCAACGCACACGATTGTATTTGTGTTCAGACAGATAGGAAAAGAAAATGGGATGGACATTTTAAGGAATTTATGTGTGAGATTTAGTAATCCGGTAGTGATTCTGTAGGTGAATATATACAGATTTGTCGGTCTCACAGTTCTTTGAACTATCTGAACTTAGATGTCAACTCTAACTGTAATCAACATGCTTTGAAAGAAGTAATTTCCAAATTAATGATTCAGGATACCAGTGTCCACTGCCAATTCAGATTTGACTGTACTTTTACAATACTGTATCAGTTTTAACAATAAGCTTCAGCTTTGATTCCTGTTTATTCTATTACCAGCAGCATACGTAACAGCTAAAAAAAGAAGCTGTCTTACAATAGCTGACAAAAATACAAACATGCAAGAGAAAGTTCAAGATGTCTGAACTAAAAGTTTTAAAAGTTAAAGCTGAAGTGCTGGAATATTTATAGTCATTTCTATTCTAAGTACTATGAATCATAGAATGGCTTGGGTTAGAAGGGACCTTAACAATCATCCAGTTCCAAACCCTCTACCATGGACAGGGACACCACCCACTAGATCAGCTTGCCAACAGCCCCATTCAGCCTGGCCTTGAACACCTCCTGGGCTGGGGCATATACAGCTTCCCTAGGCAACTTGTTCCTGTGCCTCACCACCCTCTGAGCGAAGAATTACTCTTCCAGAAGTTACCGAGTCAATAGAAGGACAGCTTAGTTAAAGCTTAACCCCAGCTTCCAACACTTACCTGCACGTCGTATCCATCCCACCCCTTGTTGTAACACTGCACAACCTCAGGGGCGCGGGAGCACCCAGCGCTGCCTCCTGTGCACTGCAACTGCGGGACGGCCGCCGTGCGGCGGGACGTGGTGTACTGACCCCTGCGCAGGGTGAGCGCCTGCACCTCCCTCAGCAGCACCCTGTCTGGAACGAGAAGGGCGGCGGTCAGCACAGAGCAACCGGGAACCCGCCCCGTTCCCCATGAAGAGCCTCCCTGGGTTCAGGAGCGGCTCCGCAGGCCTCACCCGGCTGGGCCCAGCCCCGCGCGGGGCCGGCAGCAGCGCTGAGGAGGAGCAGGAGGAGCGCAGCCCCCACACCACCGCCCGCCATGACGGCTCCCCGCTAACTGAGCCCTTCCGGGTCCGCGCAGCGCCTCTCATTGGCCGCCAGACCGGAAGGGGCGGGGTCCAGCCGCGGCGCACGCGCCCTGCCCTTAGCAACGCGCGGCGCCTTCACTTCCGGGAAAGGGGGCGGGGCGCACTGTGCGCATGCGCGCTGCCTGCCCGGAAGCGGCTGCTGGGGCTCGGTCGCTGCGCGGGCCATGGCCGGCATCAAAGGTGCGGGGGGGGGGGGGGGGCGTTGCCATGGTAACCGCAGCGCGGGAACCCTGAGGCGAGGGGGGCTCCTGAGGCGGTTGGGGGGCGGTTGTGGCCGTTGGGGGGCGGTTGTGGCCGTTGGGGGGGCTCCTGAGGCTGTTGGGGGGCGGTTGTGGCCGTTGGGGGCTTAACGGAGGGGGCTGGGTGCCCGCTGTGCGGCCGCTGACGTGTTCGGGGTCTGTTCGCAGCGCTGATCAGCCTGTCCTTCGGCGGAGCGGTCGGCCTGATGTTCCTGATGCTGGGATGCGCCCTGCCCCAGTACAAGTAACGTAGCCGCGGATTAGACACGGGGGGGTGTGGGGGGAGGGCTCTGGGCAGCCTCAGCCTCCAGGTGGTTGAGGGTTAAGAGCACCTTCTGGTGGGTTTGGGGTTGCTTAGCCAAGCCTCGCTTTACCAACATCCCCTTAAAACGATCTCTGCTGAAGCAGTTCGCAGCCATGGGGTGTTGGGGTTCCCATCATCTTGTTCCAAAGTAAAGGGTTCCCTTTGCCTGGGCTTTCGCCTCGTCTTTTCCAAACGTGCATATTGTATGCAGAAAATACCTTACATTGATTATCATGAAGAGCTGGAAGTCAATTAACTTCTCTTCTCCTTTCTTTTTCAGCCAGTACTGGCCCCTGTTTGTTCTGTTTTTTTACATCCTTTCTCCTATACCGTACTGCATAGCAAGAAGATTAGTAGATGACACAGATGCGACAAGTAATGCCTGCAAGGAGCTAGCCATATTTCTTACGACAGGCATTGTTGTCTCAGCGTTTGGGCTACCTATAGTGTTTGCCAGAGCAGAACTGGTTAGTACTGTTTCAATCTCTGAAAATCCTCTTTGCTGGAAAACTTGATGCTGTTTAAACTGAAGGTAGAGCTCTTGTGCACTAAGTGACTTTTATGAATACATACTTAAAATGCTTGCAGTGGAAGCAGAACAGGAATTCTTTCAGGAAAAAAGAACCAAACAATAGAAGCATGGCAAAAAGTCATGTTTGCCAATTGCTTTACATGGTCATGGAATAAACCCTAACATCCTATGATCCTATGTGTGATCCGGAAAAAATGAGATAGAATATAGCATGAAAACTTAACAGGCAAGTAATCAAATGTAATCAAAAGTTTACAGTATATCTTGAAGGCAATTTGTAGAGTCGTTGGATTAAAGAAGTATGAATAAACAGTGAATTTTTGCACTCGCTGTGAAGGACATGTGATCTTGTTTTTTTTTAAATCTTCTTAGTTATCATTATATCCTTCCTGGTGTATGACTTCCCACTACCATCCTGTAAAAGATGACCTTGTTTGCGTGAATTTCAATTTCAAAGAATCCCAAATCAAAAAAAAAGAAAAGAATGTACTTTCATAACATCTCTTTAGGCAAGAACGTTTGAGATGGTCAGTTTGAATGCCTCACAGCTTTGACTAACTCACTTAGACTCCTTGGAAAACATTCACCTCTGTTTTTTGTTGTTGCAACTTGGTTATCTGCTGACATTTTAAAGGCCTCCATCCTTGGCTCTCTGTTTAAAAATTCCTGTGGTCGGCAAGTATAGCTGGACTGCACGTATGTTTGATGCTGTTGCCTAGCCTTACTGTACTGTTGCTGGATGTTAAGTAAAACATCTGTGCCTGCTAGCCAGCACTTAGAACAGGGCTAGGAAAACTTCAGTACTGCTTGGCTGACTTATTAGGCAAAGCCTTTTTGGGTAAGCGTAACCAGCCTTCCTAGCATAACAAATAACAAGATACTGTCTTCTTTTATCGTGTATCTGTTGCTGAACTTTGTCTGTAACGTGACATTGAGAGATTACTTTTTGTCTTGTTCAGTTCAGGATGCATCTAACTAAATTCCCCTTGTTCGCAGATTTACTGGGGCGCATGTGCACTTGTTCTTACGGGGAATACAGTCATCTTTGCTACGATCCTAGGATTTTTCTTGGTCTTTGGCAGCAATGACGACTTCAGCTGGCAGCAGTGGTGAAAGGAAGATAAAGAACTATCACAGACATCTTGTCGTTCAGTGGCCATGCATACAAATGAGAGAATGGGCAATAAGAGAAGTAGTGTAGCAAGCCTCTCGAGTATTCTAGATACTCCTTTCTTTCTCCTTGTTCATTCTGAGTGTACTACTGTTTTCCTGATGGGTTTCTAGGTTTTTTTGAAGTGAAGAGATGGATTTCATTTTTACCTTTGGTATATTTTTAGGTGCTCTGTTTGTTTAAAATTTTCATTCTTGTTCTGCTCAGTGTGTATGTAAAGCTTTAAAGCTGGAACAAGAATGTTAAAAAACAAGGTTTCAAAGAAAATTTCAAGTCTTTTTGTTGTTTAGCATTAATACAGTGCTTCAGAATAACTTTTCTAAAATGGTGATCATATACAAGCTGAGCTGACATAAGCAGTTGTACACCACCATTGTCAATTACCAGATATAAAGATTGTAGTTATATTTTGCCAGGGGCAAGCTGGAGGAGTACCAGTAGCAGATTTTTCTTCTGCCCATACCTAAAACTGGGTGATGAATGTTGATAGCCTTCAGTTAAGGAAAAGGCTGAGAAGCAGGTAGAGTTATTTGGGAAAAATCCTGAATTCAAGCACTGTTAGCACTTTTACCTGCTTCCTTATCAATTTTTGTGTGGATGTGACATTCAAATCATCTGTAAATGTGTGATGCTATGACATACAAAACCAAATTGCGTTGTAGGGGAAGGGGAAAACGATGTTTAAATTCCATTTTTAAAATCTTTTTTTTTGAACTGTATTTATAAGTATTGTATGGTTTTGAGCTTTTATGTCAACTTTTTACCACAAAGAGGGTAAAATGTTCACTCATGGAACTACTGGTCTGAGTTAATTTGAAGCATGTATGAAGCTTTTTCCTCATTCCCCTTTTTAATTTATTTTATACATAAATAGAATAAAGCTTTTCAAATGTAGATTAAAACTATGTTAAACTCGCCTAAGAATGATTCCCTCCACCCTTTTTTTTCCTTTGCACAATGCAGTTGAGCCATGACTTTTTTGGAAGTCACTGGCTGAACTGATTTCACTGACTGTTTTTAAGTTCTTATGCACTATGGGTTAATAAGATTTAATGTTTTGTCTGTAACTGTAGACTTGTGTGCTGTAAGCTTACACATGTAGCTTCAAATATTTCAGTCATTTCTGCATACCTCTCAATTGTCTGTATTTTTCATTTAAAGAAATCTGTCGTTAAGACATTCCATTGTGAGATAGCTGATGAGGGCCAGTTAAGCAGGCTTGGCTGTACCACATACAGTGATAAACCTCTGAACTACATTTTTATTCATCTCTTTAAAAGTCTGGGCAATGTACTGTGCATAATTAAAAGGTGGTGATTGCTAAGACCTTACTGGACAGTGGAGTGGTATGAAAAGGCACAGAATATCAGGCCTTAGCTGTAATGTTTGTGCACAGATGTAAATGAAATACAAAGCTTGAATATTTGAAGTCAGACAGTAATAGTAGCTACTTATGTGATGTGCTCATGGAACTTAAACCAGCAGGGGCAGTCGGGGTGTGGTTACCTACAAGTGCTGCTTCATTAATGTCCTCCTGTGTGTAAAATAAGAACTCAACGTTATCGGCACTGGTAGAGAAACAGATGGTTGTCAAGACCATAGCGCAGAAGCCAGCAGGTAGCATTTCAGTCCTAAGTAAGTGCTTCACCAAACTGTTTGTGATCATTCAAAGATGCCTAACAGCTGTAGAGCTGCTCGTTTCATGATGGTTTTCAGCGAGATGTCTGCACCCCTAGCCCCAAAATGATGGATTCTTCAGAAGATTTGCTAAACCAATGGTTATATCGGCAGTCTTTGCCCTTGCGAAGGAAGAACAATGAAGACTTGTACAAATCTGAATCTGTTACCAGCTTTTTTTTTTTTTTTTTTTTTTTTTCCGGTTCTAACTGTGGTATTTGGTTCCCATCCCTTGCTCCCCAACTGCTTTGCTGCTAGCCTACTTCTCAATTTGATGCTTCTCCAAAACACCAGGACACTGAATTGTGCGTGTATGCGTCGGCTAAGCGTTTTGTATGTTAATTGCATTACAGTGTTATGTTCTTTTCCTGGCACACCAAGCACTGCAGCCTGGCTCCGGTTTGAGCTAGACTCTTGGGAGGTATGAACTTTCTGTGTTAACAGGCACTGAGACAGCGTCGCCATCCTATAGCAGAGAATTTTGAACAATAAACATTTGAAACAGCAATCCCAGCTCTGTACGTTTAATCAAAAACAATAAAAGAGTACTTTGGTTAAAGCATTACTCTGTTTATTTGGTACAATTGCTGTTACTGCTGGGAGGGTTGTTAAAAGGTTGTTCAAGTCGTGCGAGCTTCGTTCACCTCACGGGCAGCACCGTTTTTAAGGCTCTGTGTGGCGTTTACACCAAGGAGGGGCTGATATTTGTGTATATTTTTCTTCAAACACATCCTGCGTGAAACCTGCAGCCCCTGCCAGCCGTCGGCAGAGGGGGGGGAACGGAGGAAGGGGACCCGGGACCGGCCTCCCCCGGCTGCGGGGCGGAGCGCGGCGGTGCCGCCCCCGGGACGTGGCAGGGCGGCCGCGGGGCCCTTCCTCTTCCGAGGGCTCCCGCTCGCAAGATGGCGGCGGCGGCCGGGGCCGGGGCCGGGGCGGGCGGCGCGGCGGCGGCAGCGCTGTGGAGCGAGGTGAACCGCTGCGGGCAGAACGGAGACTTCGCCCGCGCCCTCAAGTCCGTCAACAAGAGTGAGTGCCGCCGGGGATTTGGGGTCGAGTCATGAAATCATCGGAATTCTGTGTCTTTTTATTTATTATTTTTTTTTTC